CCCCACTCAACTGGAGTAGGAGAGAATTATTAAATAAACATCCATACGTCATTCCTCCCCCCCCCCAAGCTGGTTGCGCCGAACCCGTACGGCCCACTTCGGCGCTGACACAGAGCAGCTGCGGTGATTCATGGGCAGCCGGGCCCTGCGCCGCGGCCCATACATCATGCCAGCAGCACTTGCGGCCCTGGCCGAGATAAACTGATCAACCACAACGGGCTGGAATGAATTTATGACAACACAAAATGGAGGGAAACAAATGGGAGGTGACCCTGGGCCACCGACCCGGCCCTTTGCTGGCCTGCAATCCACTCTCCTGGCAGGAGGCAAGATGAAACACTGGTCCTAGAATGAAGAGGCTGCCTTTTAACCTCAGGCCACCTAGCCTCCAGCTGGAGGGGTACAGACGCAGGGAGATAAACAATAGCCAATGACAGTAGCTCCAGGCAGCCCAGACTGGACAATGCCACCTCCTAGGGCCAGAATGGCCTTGCCTGGGCTTCTGGAAAGGTAGTGAGATGCCTGTTATCAAATCCTTGTGGCTCCTAAGGATCCAAGCCAGGGGCTACCCATCTTTGGTTAAATGTTAGTGGATCCCCTCAGCTCCCAATGGAGAACCCTGGCCAAAAATTCCTACCAGAAATGATGAGACCAGATGCAACCGCCTAAAACCCACTGAGAGCGCCACCCGGGAAAAGAAAAATGAAACCAATTTAGCTTCCGATTAAGAAACAGAAACTAGAGATGAATCAAGTGCGCCGGCAGGGCTGGGCAGCCATACATCACATTCCTCGGGTGGAGGCCGCTACAGCGGGCGGGTGGGCAGACAGACTGCTCCTCCCTTCGTCAAGGCTCCGGGGGCCATGGCTCAGCGATCAATTCACAGAGTCATGCTTAGCACCAGCTGGGCTCCACTCCCAGCTCCATGCCCAGGGCAGCAGGACCAAGCAGCACTCGGGAGGGCCAGAAGCCCTGGCAGCTGGCCTTCCTGCTAGTAAGAGCCCCCTCCTGGCCAGCCACACTCACTTCTCAATGTCGCTGTTCTTACAGGTCTTCTGCATGGCCTCCTGCTTGCTGCTTTCACCATTGCTGGTCGATGGCATCTCTGTGGGGACAGAGGGGCGACTCAGCCTTTGGCCACACAGGTGGCAGAGGAGAGGGCCTGGGCTTGAGTCTGTCACCACCATACAGGGATCTCCCCATTACTGCTAAGCTGGGTTGGGACTCACCGTCACTGGCCCATTTAGAGAACTCAGGTGTGATTCGCGTGCTGGGAGGGCCACCACTAGAGGAAAGGAAGAGCAGAGTGAGGCCGAAGGCAGGCAGGACAGCTGGGAGGGTAAGCACTGTGCTGAGCCCCTACTCCCAGGTTCCCATCCCGCCCGCCCAAGCCTGTGCCCACACTTGCTTTAGGACTGCACCCCGCAGTGCTTCTCTCTCCTTGGCTTCACCAGGCTCCTCGCCTGTGCAGGGGATGACGTCAGCCTCTGTGTATCTGGCACGGTGGTCAAGGACAGTGGATCCGAGTTTGTAGGAAGATCTCTCCTGGCCAAAGCCAAGCCTCTGCCTCTGACGTGAAGCCCTGGCCATATATTTATTCCCACTGGCCTGCCTCACCAGCCCACCCCATCCCATAATGCCCCGAGGATACTGTGGCTTCCCGTACTCCAGAGTATCATCCCCATCCACATCCAGGTCGGCATCACTGTCTGGGTTCTCTTTGCCACTGCACATGATGAAGCCAGAGCCTGTGGGAAGCAAGGTATGAGGAGAAAGAGTGGTAAACAAGACTATGCCAAGGGACAGGTAAGGCCAAACAAAAACCTGGCCAGGATATGCCGTGTTTTTTTTTTTTTTTAAGACAAAAGATGTTAATGTATGAGTTGTGTTTTTTTAAAACCAAAACTTTAGTATTCAGGTTTAATTGCAGTGTTGGCACTTTCTAATAAATAAGTGGGTTTGGGGTTGCACTTTGGGCATTCTACAAGGTTGGCATCACTGCTCCAACCTTTTAGTCCTTTTTTTTTTGGTACTGAGGATTGAGCTTGGGACCTTGTACTTGTGAGGCAGGTGGTGGAACTAGTGAGCTAAATCCCCGGCCCAACCTTTTAGTCCTTTCATTCTGCACACCTCATCCTCTCAGCCACTGGATGCTGCTCTGGTGGTCTCAGCTCATAACCTGGCCCTTTCACAGACTGTCAAGTCCCCAGGAGACACCCCACCCTACCCGTGCTAGCCACTTGTCTTTCAGGTCCAGAAAGATCTCAAACAATGCATAGATTCAGGTAAAAAGCCAGCCCAATTAGGACCCTCACTCCCTATTTCCTATTGTCTAGCCTCCCAAGTCCATCAGAGAGGAGAACAGGCTGGCTGAGGCCAGAGCCATGGAGCAGGACCCCCAGCCAACATCCTGATTTTGGCTGCCAGGCCCTTGCCAGCAAAAACACCAGGCAGCTGTTCAAATATTTGGTGTCTGAAGCGCCTGACATTAATTATTCATTTCTACCTCATGCAGCCCAGATTCCTGGACAAGTATAGTTATAAAGGGATTAGGAAAGGACAGACGAGGGAGGATAGCCATGCACACCTGCCTCTAAAAGCAGACCACGAAGGCAACTAGGCTGGGTTGAGGCCAAGGGCCAAGTAGGTGGCTGACACCTCTAGGATGCATTTAGCAAAGCTACAGGCAGAATTGGGTAATGGAGAGGTGTGTTCAGAGGCTATACCAGGCACTCTCACCTGCCAGGTGGTCTCTCTCAGGACCACCCTTCCTGACTCATGGTCCATGACCACAAGCTGTCCCTCACCTCTGCTTCCTTTCAGTGGGTCTCAGACCACCTCACTAGCCAGCATGGCACCCCTGCTAGGGACAAAATAAAACAAATGACTCTGTGGCCAGTGGATCAGCAAAGAAATCCCTAAAGAAACAAGGACAAAGCTCAGGGCTCTGCCCAGTGATCTCAGAAAAGCCTTCCTGTCCATTCTTTTTTTTTGGAGACAGGGTCTTGCTATGTGGTTCAGGCTGCCCTTGAACTTACTAGAACAGGCTAGCCTCAAACTCACAGTGATCCTCCTGCCTCAGCCTCTCGAGTGTTGGTATTATAGGTGTGCACCACCACACCTGGCTTTCTTGTCCATTCTTCCTGCTTGTAGGTCCTTGTACTCTCATTAAGGAAGCAGTTATGAGTCATGAAGCTTCTTGCCTATTCTTTATCCTCCTTATCACACAATTCTGGTCCTTCTTTTCTCTGCTCCAAAATCTTCTGTGGCTCCACAGTGCATGCACAGCCAAGCCCAAACTCCTCAGCCAAATCCACGATGATCTACAAACACCTACTACTCTATATCTCTTCACTCCAAAAACCCTTAGCACTGAACAGTGGGACTGCTTGCTGCACCTAACACACATTGAGACCTCCATTCATGCTGTTCAATCAATTTGGAGTTTTCTCAATCTTTCAAGCTCCAAAAAGCACTTTCTTCCCGATCTTCCTTTTCCCTTCTACCTCTCAGGTTTCTGGTCTCAAAGATTCCAGCCAGCCCAGAGGTAAGTAGCACCAGAGAAAGAGACTGGGCACTGCCTAGACTCCACCCACCCTGACAATCCTCATTTGCCCTCAACCTGGAGGCACTGACATATTTGAGGCAGCAGGCAGGTCAGTGGTGGGGCCATTAAGCTGAGAAAACACCAAGTTACAGCTCAGTCTCCTGTTCACGCCAGGTGTCCTGACAAGCAATTCTCGCCTTGTGGGTGAGTGGCACCTCTATAAACCCAATGACAGTTTGGGAGACAAACTCCGCCATCAATCAGAATGTAGCTATCAGGTTCACTTACAGCCTGCACCCCCCGAGCCTGCCAACCCCCCCTCTCCCAAGTACATGCTGCATAGCAGCCAGCCTCACATCCTCTGCATAGGCTGGTCCTGTTCTGCCGTGCCTTGCAAGTGGGCAGAAAAGAAATCAGAGAATCCTGGCATTACTTCTGAGACCAGTATGACTACCTTGGCAAAGCAAAGAGGGCGGCCATAGCTGCCAGAAAAGTCTCAACATATAAAGCCTAAGACCTTCCTCTGCAGTCTCACTGCCTACCCTTAGACCAGGACTCTTTTTTCATGTTTTTTTTTCTTAGGCAAGGTCTCTCAGTGTAGCTCAGGCTAGCATCAGAACTATCTTCCTGCCTCAGCCTCCTGAAATCTGGGATTACAGGTGTGTACCACAGTGCCCAGCCAGACTAGGACTCGTGCTTCAGTTGAACACAGCTACTATGGTCTCTCAAATCCTGTGTACTTTATGCCCCTGCCTTTATACCTTCTCCTCCGTCTAGAATCTCCTCCCTGCTGGTCCGCAGAAATCAGTGCCTACCCATTTGGCAGGTCTGACTCAGCTCAACTATGCCTTCTGCCATAACTCATAGTGCTTAAAGGAAGGACTTCTCACCTGACATTCGATGAACCTTTATGAAGTTCATACTTTGGCTCTGCAGGGAGAACACAGTCTTTCAAGATCTGGTTCCCGTACCCCAGCTCAGTGGTGGTGAACCTATGGTATGCATGCTGTGGAGCTGTTGGTATCACAGAAAACTCTCGAAGGTTCACCATCACTGCCCTAGGTGCTTTAAGTGGTGGGTGCAACTTCCCCAGGTAGTTATGTACAGATGTCTCTTCCTTGGTGTCTACCCAAACTCCTCTTCAACTCCAAGATTACATTTATTTGCATGTATTGACACTGCTTCTCACCAGAAAACTTCAAGGGCCTTGGGTCTTACTTGCTGCTGTGATCTGAGCATCATCCAGGAGAGCTATCCAGGCCCACAAGAGGTGCCACATGATGTGCCCCAAGGGTAACAGCTAAACACTGGCAACCCTGCTGAGGTCCTGGGAGCCCTCTAAAGGAAGGCCCAGTCTCTTAGTGCACAGCCCTTCCTAACAGACCTTAGCTCCCAGCTGGGCAGCAACCTTGTTCCTCTGAGCAGCGAGGTAGGAGGAAGAGAGCCTGACATATCTTGTTTGTTGAAGGAAAGAACTCTCTGTCTCTGGTGTGGGCAGTCTATTCTGACCCTGACTCTATCCTCCAGCTAAGACAGATGTTGGGAACCTCTCCCTACCCCCACAGGTGTTCAGAACAGGCTGCTGCTGCCAATTTCACTCTGGTGCTGCCCCAGCCTGCTCCAACCTCCTTCCCAGCACATTAAACTTTATTTTCTTAATGAAATGTCACTTGCTGACTTCTGGCAGAATCATAATAAAAAGAAATGGCCATAAAGCCGTTTTATGTAGACAGCGCCCCCGCCAGCTTGCCCTCCCCTCCCCCATTTAGAGGAAGGCTCCACAGTCATTTTATATTCTCAGCTGCTGGAATATCCCAAGCCAGTACTCAGAGGAAAGATGGCACAGAGAGCGCCTTTCCAAGTCTCTGGCTCCTCTTCTCTGCAGCCCCAAGAATAACAGGCAAGCTGCCACCTCTGCCGCTGCTGTGCAGGGAAGGAACTAAAGGGGCCCCCTTCCTATAACGGATGTCCCACCTGAAAGTGGCAAAAAGGGCTGGGTCCCTACTCACAGGTAAACCAAGTCTACCACTCAACAATGCCCAACAGAATGGGTGGATGGGTAGTACAAAAAAATCTCTTCCTTACTGGTAAATATTTGGCAATAGAAAGGGAGAGGGTTAAGTGTAGAAATGATAGGGAAGTCTAAATTTTATGAAAATGACCCTTCTTCCATAAACTCATTTCTTCCTGGGTCATTGAGAGGGGTGGGGGAATCAGTATTAATTTAATCAACTGATCAAATGATTGATTGAGAAACTGGAGATGCCTGTTTACTGGGGGCAGTAATGTCCTGGAACCTGAAACCACAAGAAAGGAGCTACTGATGTCCTCACCTGCTCCCAAACCCAGCCAGAGACCATGAAGAAAGGAAAGTCTTGGGGCCCTCCAGAGGCTGGAGCTCACCAACAGGGAGGGCAGGGGCAGCAGCTTCCGGGGAGTTTTACACTGGAATTAGTTACAGATGCAGTTACGGTGTCTTGTGTAAACGCCATCGATTGGGGAGCTGACAGTCTGGGGAGCTGCGATGCGGGACAATCAATCGGCCTGCAGTGTCACCTGCCACCTCGCTGAACAGTTGACAATGCAATTATCCAGTGTGGAGGCAGGGAGTTGGCGTGTGTCAAACGCACTTAGCCACTTTCCGGGCCTCCTCGATAACGCGTTTCACTGCCTCACGTCAGGAGAGACGCACAGAGACAGACACCGTTTAAAACCATTGATACTTGCTCCTTCTGCTTGCACTCCTTCTGTCCCAGCTTAACAATCGTGTTCCAAAAAGCGATTCAATCCAGTCCGTTGCCACAAGGGACAGAGGCACCCTGCTCCCTTGCCACCTCATCTCTCATCCCACCCAATGGGTGACAGTCATAACTAAAGGTTGTAGGGTATGAGGAGGAAGCCATCCTTGCCCTCTCCACCCCAAGCTGGTCTCCAATGGTGTGCTGTTCCAACATGTCACTTACAGGACCAAGCCACAGAGCTGCACGGGGACAATTTAGCACTGAGGCTCCTATCTTTTGAGAATCAACATGCCAAAGGAAGCAGCAGTGAGGGTGAGAGGCCCATACCTGAGCTTTGGGATTCACAATACCTCTCAGAAACTTGCCCTGTAATTGGTGCTGAAGTTTCATCAACAAACAGCTCATTACAAGAACTGCACCAAAGCTGCCTTGCCTGTTATTCTCTCCATGACTTCTCATTCTAGGGTACTTTAGAACCACCATAATCTAAGACGGGAACTCAAGAAAGATGCAGTTCCTAGGTTGGGACCTGGCAGGGCAGAAGCCCTGCATAGCCAAATGTCTTAGCTTTCTCCTTCTCCTCACTTCACCATGCGAACAATAAATTTAGCTAGGGCTCAAAGTCAGAGCTGTAGACATCACATACTTCCTGTATAGCCTTCTGAGAAATCCCTCCATCTCACCACTTGTGTATTCACAACATCACTGCCACTTTATTTGAAACCAGTCACTCCCGTGTCCTTTCGCCAGTCTGTCTCCCAGATGTGATAAGTTCTGGGTTCCCCAAATCCAGTGGGGTGAACTCTCACTGGCAACCAGAACAGGGGAAGGCTCATAGGTCTCTTCTCCAGGACCTAGGAGCAGCTGGAGAGGCAGTGAGAGGAAAGGCGAGCCGTGACTCATTCATCATATATGTCCTTGGATTATGGTTAGAAATAGGTTTGGCTCAAGGGCAGATTCACTGTGGCAGGCTTCTTTAGCCTAGGAGCCTGCTCTGCTCCTTCTAGGTTTAGCAGGGTTCCTGAGAAGAGCATTTTTTCTCCTATACTGCTGATCTCTTTTAGGTGAAGGACTAGGTTTTGTGTACTAACCTCTATGCAACCAGCACTACAGGTTTGAAAACCTTGGATACTGAAAGGACAATCAGCAGCTTAGGCACAAAGTCTGAGGATTTCTCCTAAAACTGTGAAGGACAGCTTTCCTTGGTAACAAAAGCTTCTTCCAAATTCATAAAATCTTTACCTATTTCTTTGGGTCTTTAAAAAAAATTCTAGTTGGACCCATCTCACTCCTTTCCTCTTCTGTCTGGTCTTCCACTTGGTCCAAAAATATCAATTCCAAGCACTCCTGGGCCTGATATCTGGGCCTCCCCCTCAGTAACCAAAGGTCTCCAACCCAAAGGCCTGTTGCTCTCAGCCAAGTGTCTCCACCAAAACTCTTGCTTATCTACTGCTTGCCATAGCAAGTCACGTTCAAGGTAACCAATCTGACCCATCAGACTGATTCTCCCAGTAGGCCTGGTGAGAAGCTTTCCTGAGGATGATGAAGGGGTCCTGCTCTGGGAGGAGGGACAAAGGATGATCGGATACAGCAACTTATCTGCAATTCTTCAATTCTTTCATATCTAACAAGGACAGCAATCTCTGTTCTGTCAGCATACACAGTTCAGCTTAAATGGGCCTTGCTACTCGCCTGCGCATCCTGCCTCTGCCTCCCTCTCTCTGAAGTCGGCTGGGCAGCTTCTTCAGCTGGCGTTATCACTCCCTCTAACCGGTCTTGGCAGGCAATCTAATTCCTCCTGAAAAGGTCACCGCCATTTTAACTGCCTTTCAATCACATTAAGCACGCGCTGCCCGGCTTGCGGCCTGGCCCGCCCGGCGGGTGATCAATGCACTGCACTGACACCAGCCTGCCTGGCGGGGCCACACCTAACCCCCCAAGCGTTGGGCCCACTGGACTTGGCCAGGGCGGGTAGGCTGACAGATGGCCAGCTTTGCAAACACAGTTTCAGGGGCAGAGCAGTGGGGATCAGCCAGGCCTCCCTTTGATAGCTCCCCCCTACTGAGGAGGCTCAGCCTCCTCCGCTCCACTGTGCTTCGTTCTCTGCCTCTCTGCCTCGTTCTCTGCCTCTCTGCCTCGTGGCCCCCGCTGATCTCGGTGTAAAACAGCCTTTCAAGTCAGCCTGTCTTTTGACTGTACTAAGCTGTTTAAGAGGCGGCAGCAACTTCTATCAGGAAAGCTGGAGCAATTCTCTGCAGATAAAGGCACCTCCGGCCTGTTCCCTCTTCAAGTCTCACTCTCATTCTCGCTCTCCAGATCACTCAAAGAAAAGGCCCCTTTGAACTCTCCCTGGGAATTCATGAAAGAAACAACCTCGCAGTGTAAACACTAAGGGAAAACTGATACCCACCCGCCCAGGCCCTGAAAGCCCCTCATACTGCTCCGAAAGTACATCCCAGTGAGGAGAGAAAGACCTTGCCAAATCTGCAGGCCCTGTGCACCTTCAACCCCTCAAGTCCTGTCTGTCTCCAGAAGCCATCAGGTCCAGTTCTATGGCAAGAGTTCTTACTAAAAAGCTGTCATAGCAACGAAAGACGTGAACAATTGTAGTAGTTCCAGAGCAGCAACCCACAACACAATTCCCGTGTGCCCAATTCCTGGGCTCACGGACTCTGCTGTTCATTCTTCCAAGGTCTCAATCTGCTACAGATCCTGCATAGGCCCAGTGTGCAAAGAGGCAACTGACACTGTGCAGCTCAGGCTCAGGGAAACAATTTGGTTTAACCCTCTTGATTTACATTTTGGCTTATCTTCAGACCTGTGGGTTATGTGAGAAAAGCCCAAAGGTGTAACGTCCCACCTGGGCTGTCAATCCCTTCACGTGACCAGTCAGCACTGCATGGCACCGTGGAGCCTACTCCTCAACATAAGCCCAGGCAGCACAGCCCCAAGGAGGCAAGACTTTCTTCACAGATGCTGGGAGATTCCCTAGGGACCATACACAGTGGTACTCCCAAGGGTGTTGCCTAGGAACAGGAGACAGACGGGAAGCAGACTGGCTCCCCTAATGACCACAAGCTGCGGTGCCAGCTGTGCTTGCGCACAGATAAGAGCTAGAAGCCAGGAGGCAGACAGCTCCTTTGACAAAAGGACACTGAACTCAGGCACCCAACCAATTTTGCTATCAGACATGGTAAAAGGGCCAAGCTATGACCCTTCAAGAAGCTTGTTGGGCACTGGAAATGGACAGGGTCCTGCAAAATCCTCTGCCGCAATTGAGGAGAGCCCGAGGGAAGGAGGGAGCAGCTGGGTTCTGGTTCTTCTTGCTTCAGGGCAGAGGGTGTCCAGGGAGAAGGGATGGGATCAGAGTTAAAATTAGATTCACCAATGAAACTCATGGGAGGTCAAATTTTGCCATAACTCACTCTCTCCTCTGTAACTGATTTCACTGACATAGGGTTGAGGAGGAGGAGGAAAATCCAATGTGTTTGCCTGGAAGCCCTCAGGGCCTCCAGCGCTGGAGGTGTACAGCAGGTTGCTGGATTCTCATTTATCAGCCTTAAGAGGGATGGAGTGATAAATGCATAACCGTCCCTTTAATATTTTATGCAGGTGCTAACGCGGCTTGGCTGTCACCTTCAATGCATCACCCGGAGGCTGAGAGCCCCCTCGTCACTCCTAGCTTGCAGCTTCACAATTCCATTTCCCCACCCAAACACATCCATTTAATATGCGCATCACAGGCAGGCAGCACGGTCACAAAGGAGCCCAACCAGCAGCAGTTCCCACGTGGTAGCAAGGATGACCAGCCACCAGCCCTCACCACCAGACTGCTGCTGCCTGTACGTTGGCTGCTTGTACCTCGGAAGCCACCTTCCAAGAGAGTGGTGGCCCGTATCCGCTTCTGCCCACACCACTCATACTCTTCAAAGCGATTGCTGTTCTCATGCTCAATGTCCACAGCATCATCCTCAGCCATGCAGGAGCCTTCTCTCTGTGAAGAGCAGAGCAGGATTATACAAGGCCCAGGCCACCATCCCTACCTGCTCCCCATAGCCTGCAAGGAGGGAAGGCAAAAGCCCCAGCCCCTGCTGTAATATGGAAGATGGAGCCCTGGCTCTAGGGCTCCTCTGATGCAAAAGAAATCTAGAGGTCAAAGACCTAGGCCTCTTCCCAATAATTTTCCACTGGAGCCCAAGGGGGTGGGGGAGCGAGTGAGAGTTAAAGCAAAGGAAGAAAGCAGAACAGAGGGGGGAAAATCTGAGACCACGTAGAGACCCCAAGAACCCCCAGATTTGAGGGCAGTTAGCAGCTAGAGTCAGGGGAAGAGGAGGGGAAGGAAGATGGATGGCAATGGCCCCTCTACCTTAGAAAGGCAATGCTCCACATGCCTACTCATCTCTTGTTCCGATCCTGCCAGGGGGCGGTTGCACAGGGGACATACCTGCCCTTCATCTTGCTTCCTCCGTTTCATTTTCCCAATCCGAGCTGCATGGGAAACCGAAAATAAAGCACAGAATATAAGTAGACAAGCACTGTAGCTTGGGGTCCCAGTGGAACTGACACATCCTGACCTGCTGCCAGCCACCAGCCCTTTTGTTCAGTGCCTTTTCTGGCCTTTGTTTTACTATGCTTCCTGTTCTTTTGGGGACTGGTCCTTGCCAAGAGCACCTGGAGAGGAGACTGGTGCTGGGCCAGGGAAGTGTCCATTCTTAGGCCACAGCTGGCTCGAGCTCAACCCATACCTACCAGCAGTGCTCAATGAACCCAACAGGCAAAGACACTCCATGTTGCTGGGTATTTCCTGGAGCGCCATGACCACAGGCTTTTTTGTGTCAGGTGATATTAACTCTTAGACATTTCTGAGTTAGAATGCAACAGTTAAAACTGTTTCAGGGCCAACAGTCCTGAGGATCCCTAGCATCCTACCTAGAAACAGCCAGGAGGAACTTATCTGAAGCACGATGGTCCCATTTTACAGGAAAGGAGACTGAGGTCTAGTCATAAAGTATGGAGGGTCTGGGTCAGACCTTGCATGGTTGGGTCAGAGGGTTCAGGGTACCTGTAGAGGGCAGCCCTTATTGTGCTGACACTAACCTGTTCCATCATTTCTCATCAGTGTAAAGGGGCAGGCAGGCCCCAGAGGCAGAGGACTGCCTGCCATGCTGTCCCACAGGGGACTCAATTCCAAAGTGCACAGTACAAGCCCATAGCACTGCTAATTAATGCTGAGAGATGCAATCATTTCTAATTAGCTCACTAATCCCTCTCTGCAGCCCTCCTGTCACTGAAGTGGGAAGGGGTCAAAACAAGGAACTTGTGTTTCCTCCAGTTCCTCTCAAATACAACAGCAGGATCAGAGATGTCCACTTTGGGACCAGATAAATGGGGAGTGAGAAAGAAGCCTACCAAAGAGGAAAGGGTTTTCCATTGCAGGGCCAGGAAGAACCCTTTTTTAAGGGTGCTGACCCTGATGGGAAACTCATGAAGGTACAGAGTGGAACACAGATGACAGTTAATAGGTTACCATTTAGAGCTTGTACTCTATATCCAGCTCAGAGTCAGGTACCTTACACAAGGAGGCTCATTTACATCTACATCCCAAAACTAAGGTTGTATTTCCCCATTTTAATAGACAAAACACAAAGCCTAGAGAGATCAAGGCACTTGTCCAAGTTGCTAAGTGTTAAGATATGGTGTAATCCCAGCATTTGGGAGGCCGAGGCAGGAGGACTGCTTTGAGACTGAGGCCAGTAAGGACTACACAGCAAGACCCTCCCTCAAAAAATCAAAAAGTAAAGCAGGCCTGATTCCATAGCCTAGAATGCTTTGTCCCAAGAATATCCGAACTTGAGCAGCATCAACAAGTCTGATCCCAAGGAGTGTTCAGGGCTCCAACTCCTGCTTGTTGAGGGTATGAAGCAGGGAATCTCTCCAATGCCAGAACAGCCCACCAGAACTGAGCATGGAGTACAGGAAACCTTAGTCTATGGCCCAGTCCACCTCTTCAGTGTCCCGCATTTCCATTATAGAGATGACTATGTTCTGGGGCCCCAATGACTTTATGCATCAAGATCCAAAATGCTTTGCTTTGGCTGACCTAACCCTTGGAATCGTATGCTCAGGCTTCCTTGACAATCTAGAGCCAGGGCTGAGATGGAGAAGGGACATAAGATAAAAGAAAGGCATGAGCAAGGGCCCCTGAGAGTTCTGAAAGCCCAGTATGGAGCAGTGCGCTATCTCCAACGGTTCTCACCTATCCTGCCTAGAATCTAAGGGAATGCCTCCCTGGGTAAGAAAAGGCCACTAACAATCATTCTTAGATGACTGAATAAACAAATGAAGCTCAGAGTTGCCAAAGGCATGATGATGAATACTCTTCTGACCCAGGACACCTAGGCCAAAAGATAGGTCTGCTGTAGACGCAGAAAGTCAATGGGACAGACTGGGCTTTATCTGAAAATTCTCAGGTAAGCAAGGTTGGTTTTTTTTTTCCTCCCCTAGCTACTCATCTTTTAAATCTTGAACTAAACTCACTATAGCATGGTACAGAGTTTTGTTTTCTACCCAGGGCTACCTCTGAGTCCGAAGGGTCAAAGCATTTGCCAAAGCAACAGCAAGGCATGGTGGAAAAGCACAGGTTGTGGAGGTAAACAAACTTCAGTTCAATAATGGCTCAACAACATCCTAGCTGTGTGATTGTGAACAAAGCATTTTCACTTCTGACAGCCTCTTTCCTTATTTACAAAATGTGTGTAACATTTTCCTCTCAGAGGCCTTGTGAGAATGGTGCTTAATATGGTGCCAACCTGTGATGAATGCTCTTTTCTAGACTGGGGCTGAATCTGGCAGTAGCAACCAATGGGAAGAGATGGGAATCTTGAATGTCCATTGCCTCACTCACACACCAGCTGGCCCAGAGACCCCAAGACCTTTACAGCCAACCCTCACATACACCACACCCTAGTCTGCACAAAAAGCAAGGATTATTCAATTGTGTTGAGCAAACAGGAACGCTCCAGAGGTCTGAATCCAAAAGGGGGGCGCCAGGTAGTACATACACGGTCTGCTCTCAGAGAAGGCCTCTAAGCGCTGTCGAGCCCACGCTGATCACCTTTGTGAAATGTGGGCCGACTGATAACTAAAAGAGCCCTGGGATGAGTTAGTTCCTGTTGCCGTGGGAACTCCAGATCTCACTGTATTGTCAAGTCTCAGCAGAGAGGCTGTATTCACACTACTGGGCACTGATTAAAAACTGGAAGAAAAACATTCTCAGCACCCTGCCGGCTTGTATAGTGTGGTCCCAGCAGTTCGCAAATTCAAAGCTGAGCTCCCGAGTGGAATTGTGTACCTTGTTCCTCATTCTCCGGCATTCATTGCCCCCCCACCCCCATTCTCCAGGAGCTTTAGAGAGAGCTGGGAAGAAGTGGGAACCATAACCTCCATTAGACAGACTGGGAAACTGAGGCGATAGCCTTGCTTTGCACATAATCAAGGAGCTATGACTGCGAAGAAGCCAGGGGGCCCGAAAGTGGAAGACTCAGGCAAGCCTGGAGCTGGGGCAGTGAGGGAGGGAGGAGGCCGGGGGTAGGGAGGAGGCCGGGGGTGGGGCGGAGGGAGGGGCCGGGCAGAACTCACCGTTCAGTCGGGTCTGCCGGTTGGCTCGC